GTGGAAGTGAGGACAGTGGTGCTGGGGACAGCAGAGGGGGATGTGGTGCGGACGGTGGTAGGGACCCGGGAGTCGTTTGCTAGCGGTGAGCGTGGTGGGGGGGAAGGGGTTCGAACCGGTAGTGACCCCCCCGGTTTTCTGGAGGGGGGGGGTTCGAACCAGTAGTGACCCCCCCTCGGTGTTTTCCGGACGGGGGGGGGTTCGAACCGGTAGTGACCCCCCCAGGTTGTCTGGAGGGGGAGGGGGAGGGGTTCGAACTTGTAGTGACCCCCCTCTGGTTTTCTAGGGTGGGGGAGTGGGGGAGGGGTTCGAACCGGTAGTGACCCCTCCCGGTTTTCATGAGCGGGGGGGGGTTTCGAAACAGTAGTGACCCCCCTTCGGTTTTCCGGAGGGGGGGGGTTGGGGAAGGGGGGGGTTTTGCCGGGGGGAGGGGTGGGTGGTTCCAGCAGGGGGGGGGATTTTCGGAGGGGGGGGAACCCCCGGGTTCCGGAGGAAGAGGGGGGGGGGAACTTTCCACAGTAAAGCGGCGGTGGATCACGCTCTCTCTCTTTTATCGAGAACCGATGCTCAGGCGAGTTGGTTTAGGAGCCTTGTGTAGGCCTCGCATACGCAGCCAGCAAGCCAGTCAGAAACGTTGTCCAGGGGTGTTGCCCTAGGCAGGGAAGTGTAGCAGCATGTAATGCGACAATCGTCCAGAAAGATTGGTGGAGCACCAACTCATATCGCCGACGGAAGAGCCCATACAGCAGAACATATGTTCATCCCGAGCGGATGCCCGGACGAGTTGTCTTAGGAGCCTCGCGGATGCCTCCTGGAACCATCTTGGGAGGAGGAGGGGGGGGTCGGGTGGAGTGGGGGTGGAGGACGAGGATGAGGAGGATGAGGATGATGAGTAAGAGGAGGAGGAGGATAGGAGGAGGAGGAGGAGGAGGAGGAGGAGAGGAGGAGGAGGAGGAGGGAGAGGAGGAGGAGGAGGAGGAGGAGGAGGAGGAGGAGGAGGAGGAGGAGGAGGAGGAGGAGGAGGAGGAGGAGGAGGAGAGGAGGAGGAGGAGGAGGAGGAGGAGGAGGAGGAGGAGGAGGGGGGGGGTGGATGAGGAGGAGGAGGAGGAGGATAATTGAATGTATTCGGACGTGGGTTAGAATCACACGCTGATTCTCTTGCGCTGATCACAACGACGAGTGGAGACCCGAACAGCGAACGAAGCGAGGGCCAGGGAAGCAAACACACCGCGGCGCAGAGATAACGACCGAGGGAGGAACCGAGGCCCGAATCCACGCAGGGACATGGCTTACAAGCTAAATCCAAAAGCAGTGCCAACCACCGTCATTTGTTTTATGGGTGTGTACATATATAGATGTATCTCATCAAGCTCACAATTACACTGGTATTTGAAATCATCATCAGCCACCCCTCTTTCTTACCACATCCTCCTACCACCCCGTCAGTTGTGCACTAGCTCGCGAGTAGCAATGCATGATACAGGACCATCTACTTGCAGGACGGGCGAGTTGCACGATTACCGCGAGAGAACTCGTCTTTTCCAAACTCATGGTGCGAATCAGGGGCGCGTTGGCTGTTGGGAGAGAAGCGGAGCAGCACTCTGGTTGCCTGCGCATTCGCTTGGCGAGCGTCCACAGGATCCGCAGGCACACGATGGAACATGAGTCCATTTGACGGCTCCACCTGGGCGTCAGAGGGCACGAGCCAGGCACGCGCTACCGCCTGGCGTGCAGTCCTCCAGGTCGCACTGGTGATAACAGGACGTCCACGAAAATCGGTTTCAGCAGGACGAATATCCGCGCCGTTCTCACGGAGTACAATACACGGCTCGCGATGCTCATCACCATGATCACGCAGCTCATGGAGTACACCAAGCAGCACACGATGTTGAGCGCCATGCGCACGATGTGCAGCGCCATGCTCGCGGAGCACACCACGATGTTCAGCATCTTGCTCGCTGAGTGCACCATACCGCGCATGAATAATATCAGCACCATGCGCAAAAGGCTCACAGTATACACCACCATGCTCACGGTGCTCTACACTATGATCACAAAGGTCACAAGGTGCACCAGATGGCTCACGAATTCCAGCGCCGTGCTCAAGATGTTCAGCGCCATGCGCACCGGGTGCACCGCAAGGCTCCCAATGTGCAGCGCCATCCGCTGGGAGTGTACCACGTTGCTCACGAAGAAGTGTGCCCTGAGGCTCATCGCGTCCCTGTCCAGACGCACGAATGTCTGCACAAATCTCGCAATGCACACCACCATGCCCATGAAGTGCCACACACGGTTCATGATGCCCCCCGCCATTCACGCGAAGGTCAGCGTAATGCAAGACGAGTGCAGCACCAGGCTCACAAATACTGTAACCGGCCTCCCTAACGACAGCGCGCTCATCAGGTAGAGTTGGATCTTCATGGCCAGGGCGCGCATGACCACGAAGTTCATCACGAACTCCAGCGCCAGGAAACCGTTTACCATGGCAATCTTCATCGCCACCATGTTCACCAACATGGGAATCACGTGTGTCAGTGACGCAAACGCCTTCTCCTCATGCACAGCCTCACACAGCCATGTCAGGAACTCCTCCACCACCGAGACCTTTACGGCGCAGGGGGCGGCAGGCATGGGCCGCAGACCAGGAGGTGCCTCTTCGTCCGATTGCCGCTGCCCAGCGTCTCGGCAAACTCGTCCAGCTCTTTCCTGGGCAGGCCTATCAGCTGCGCAGCCTTCAAGGCGTCCCCCCATGCTGGGCAAGTGGCCGCCCAGCTGGTCGCCCATGTTCCAGTGCGCCACCAGAGCGGCCCGGCACATCTCGCACCTGACAGCGAGAGTTTGCGCACAGGTCTCGTCGACCCGCAGGTCTCGCCCGCCGCCGCGGCCGCCGCGCAGGTGTGCGGGCGGAGGCCGCAGCCCATGGCCGGCCTGGCGGCGACATTGCAGCTGCTTGCGCGCCTGCGCCGGTCGCAGGCGCGCTGGCGAGCGCCTCCCGGAGCGCGGCTCACTTGAGCCGAAATGGCTACGCAGGAGGATAAGGAGGAGGAGGAGGAGGAGGAAGACCAGGAGGAGGACCAGGAGGAGGAGGAGGAGGAGAAAGAGGATGCTGCTGCTGATGACGATGGCGATGGCGATGGCGATGATGATGATGATGATGATGATGATGATGATGATGATGATGATGATGATGACGATGATGATGATGGTGATGACGATGATGATGATGATGATGATGATGATGATGGCGATGACGATGATGATAATTACTGATGATGCTGCTGATGATGATGATGATGATGATGATGATGATGATGGGGGTGCTGCTGCTGATGATGATGCTGATGATGATGGTTGATGATAATGATGATGCCGATGATGATGCTGGTGCTGATGACGATGATGATGGTGGTGATGATGATGATGATGATGATGATGATGATGATGATGATGATGATGATGATGATGATGATGATGATGATGATGATGATGATGATGATGATAAGGAGAAGGCGTAGGAGGAGACCTTCGCGGATCCTTTGTTGTGCGAGCCTCGTGGAGGACACTCGGAGCTATCTTGACCCCCCCCCCCAGGGCCTCTCAGGATCCTCTTGGGGTCATTCTCTCGGGCCTTCGTGGGGGGCTCGTCTGGGGAGTCTTGGGGCCCTCGTGGGGCTCTTTGGGGTGGTGGGTCTTGGGGTTCTCTTGGGGCGATCTTGGGTTTCATGGTTCACATTCGGGGGTCCTTGCTCCCCCCCTGAACCCCCCTTCGGAGGCCCACAGGGTGCCTCTTGCGGCCCTCTTGGAGCGCTCGTGAGGCGCTGTTGGGCGCTGTTGGGCCCTCTTGTGCCCTCTTGGGACATCTTGGAGCCATAGCGGCCAGGCGGAAGCGACACGGCTATAGGGCAAAGCCATTCATTTCCCCTTCGGGTTTGGGGTGAGCTTGGCTTCTTCGAAGGTTACTTGGAGGGCGCCGCAGGCACTCGGAGCTGTCTGGCGGCCAGCTTGGGGCCTCAATGAGGTATGTAGGATGCATTATTTAACTATCGTCGGCTATCTTGTGCAATCTTGGAGGCCATGTCGGTGCATCGGTGGCCACCTTGGAGCCATCTTGGGCCATCTTGGGCTCTCTACCCCCTCGCACCCTCTTCAGACCCAGGAGAGGGGGTAGGGGGAGTGGTCGACACCTCTTTGAATAAGGGAAAGAGGGTTTGGGAAGAGGGAGTCGAATAACCGTAATGCCACCTAAGCCCAGAAGGCTGGTGGGATTTGCTTGCGGGCCTGTCCCTCCAGCCAGGGTTCCTTTGCAGCCCTCTCTGCGATCTTCTCTGTCTTTCAAGTGTGCCTGCGGGCGTTTATGCCTGCGTGCATGTCCCCTCTTCCACTCTCGTACCGCTGCTCGATCCCCCTTTCTGCACAATTGTCGTTTGTGATGCTTGCCACTATTATTGATACCAGTTGTCAAAGGGCAGCACGGGCTGTGGTGTATTTGACCTCGTGCGAAAACGAATGCTATGGAGGGCAAATGCCGATTCGATGGGTCCGACGGTATGGGACACCAATGGATTTCTGCTCATTCTCGAAACGCCACGGTGGCATGCGGTGGATGTTAGAGTGCCTGCAAGAGACCGGCTATCTACGATTTGTAGGTGCGTATATGCATCGGCATCTCCCGTGTCATCGCAACAGCTTCGCTACGTGTGGTTTGCGAATGGCAGTTGATGGTTGTCTCTGAATGTTCTTCGGCTTGTGAACGTTATGACGTATTTTCTTCTTTGAAGGGCTTCTGAGCACAGCTCATCTCTTGATGCTCGCTTGTGCTTGCCCCCCTCTCGTGGACCCCACGTATGCCATTCTTTCAGTGTTCCTTGTGTTGTGTGTTCGCTTCTTAGGGCAAAACCCAACGTAGCATCTATGGCCATTGCGACATTCATCAGGCATCGCACGTACAGTTCCCGCCTTCGCTTGCACACGCACGCATGGCAGAATCACGAGCGTCCCAGGTGGATTTCTGCAACGAGGCCACGCGCTTCTTTTTTTCTTACGGTGCGAGTGTTCACATGGTGTAAGTAATGAATTTTGTGTCTTGTATATATGCGGCATGTTTCGCAGCGGGATCTGAGGGTCATGGCCCCATTGATGTCGTAGTTATGGGTGCCGCTGGTTGTACCACTGAGGTCGCTGCCGGGTTCCCCTGACCGCATCAAGGGATTCTGATGCCGGCACGCACGACGCACACGCAGTTCTCCGCGCTGGGCATCTGAATTAAGACAGTAACGCAATCGATGGTTTACGTGGTGCCGCTGACTGCAATGACGGCAGATATCCTTACGACGCTGGCAGTTTCACGACGGAGGCGCCGAACGATGATTTTTCCGCCGAGGTCCTGCGCCCGGCACATTCTTGGCTCCGCCGAAGCGGGGCAAAGCCATAACGTTGGAACAATGACCACTTCGATTTCGGACGGGGTTTCGAGCCCCTCAGGTCCCTCCTCAGGCAATTTCTCTGGCGCCCCCCCTCCGTGAATTTGGGCTCATCTTGGGGCCAAACATGAGCTTTGACCAGGGAAGACGGGGGAGGAAGGCGCGCGCGGGAACTCGCGCAGATGATGATGATGATGATGATGATGATTCTGATGATGACGATGATGATGATGATGACGACGAGGAGCAGGAGGAGGAGGAGGAGGAGAAGGAGGTTGAGGAGGAGTCGGAAGAGGAGGAGGATGAAGAGGAGGAGGAGGAGGAGGAGGAGGAGGAGGAGGAGGAGTGAGAAGAAGATGACCCTGATGATGCTGCTGATGATGATGCTTATGATGACGATGATGCTGATGATGATGATGAGGATCATGATGCTGCTGATGATGATGATGCTGATCATAATTATGATGATCATGATAAGGATGCTGATGCTGATGATCCTGATTCTGCTGATGGTGATGGTAATTATGATGACGACGGCGATGATGATGATACTGATGCTGCCGAGGATTATGACGATGACGATGACGATGCTAATGATGATGCTGCTGACGATGACGATGATGATACTGATGATGATGATGATGATGATGATGATGATGATGATGATGATAACGATGCTGTGCATAATTATACCGATCATGATGCTGCTGCTGATGTTTTCGATGATGATGACGACGATGACGATGACGATGACGATGACGATGACGACGACGACGACGATGATGATGATGATGATGATGATGATGATGATGATGATGATGATGATGATGATGATGATGATGATGATGATGATGATGATGATGATGATGATGATGATGATGATGATGATGATGATGATGATGATGATGATGATGCTGATGATGATGATGATGATGATGATGATGATGATGATGATGATGATGATGATGATGATGATGATGCTGATGATGCTGCTGATGATGATGATGATGATGTTTATTATGATGACGATGAGCAGAAAGGGGGAGCAGGCGGAGGATGAGAAGGTGCTCGAAGAGGAGGGGGGGGAGCAGTTTGAGGATGAAAATGCCCAGGACGGATGAGGATGAGGATGATGATGATCATCGAGATGATGATGACGACGATGAGGATGAGGAGGAGGAGGAGGACAGGATGATGATGACTATGTTGAGGTGATATCTATGTTGCTGTTGATGCTGATGATGATGATGATGATGATGATGATGATGATGATGATGATGACGATGATGATGATGATGATGATGATGATGATGATGATGATGATGATGATGATGATGATGATGACGGTGGTGGTGGTGCTGATGATGGTGACGATGCTGCTGCTGCTGATACTGATGCTGATGCTGATGATGATGATGATGATGATGATGATGATGGTGGTGGTGGTGGTGGTGGTGGTGGTGATGGAGAAGGAGGGTCGGAGGAGGAGGTGGTGATGCTGATGATGGTGATGTTGGTGGTGGTGATGATTGTGATGATGAGGGACGAGGAGGAGACGGAGGATGAGGATGGGGACGATGGTGATGATGATGACGATGATGATGATGACGATGACGATGACGATGATGATGCTGCTGATGATGAGGATGATGAGGATGAGGGTTATGATGATGATGAGGAGGAGGATGAGGATGAGGAGGAGGAGGAGGCGGATTATGTTGATGGTGATGATGCTGGTTTTCCCTCGGCATCAGGACCAAACTGTTGAGCAAACGGTTTTAGAGAAAAATGTGTTCCGTCGCAGAGAGTTCGATTGCTCCCTACAGAGCTCGCTAGGAGCCGTTCTTCACGGGGTGCTGCACACATGTGCGCGCGGTCCAGGGAAAACCGTAGGCAGCTGGCGATGCCCGCGTTGCATGCTCAGCGTTGGGAGGATCGGAGGTGGGAGAAGAAACTGTGGCTCAAGCTCGCCATGCAAGCCCCGTCGTGAGGCCACGCATCTCGAATTCGTTCAGGGGGGGATCATGCTTGCATCTGGATAGCGCTCGGATTCGATTCTGGGAATGCATCAGTAGTACAGCAAGCCTTCTAGCACACCCAGGGACTGCACTAACGAAAGGTACAAGAACGTCCTCTGCGCAGCGGTGGTATTCGCGAAGATACCCGGATTTGACCATCTCCCCGTTGGTTGCACACGTGAAGTAATAGCGTCGTGATGCCTCCCGTGGTACTGCTCCACTCCGTAGCGCATGACGTCGGCGAAGGGCTCCTCGCAATGTTTCCCGTGAAACTGCTCCACTCTGTAGCGCATGACGTCGGCGAAAGGCTCATCGTGGTGCCTCCAGTGGGACGGCTCCACTCCGTAGCGCATGATGCTCGTCGTAGTGCCTCCTGTGGTACTGCTCCGCTCCGTAGCGCATGATGTCGTCGAAGGGATCGTCGTAGTGCCTCCTGTGGTACTGTGCACTCCGTAACGCATGATGTCGGCGAAGGGCTCGTCGCAGTGCGTCTCGTGGTACTGCTCCGCTCCAGCGATGTTGGCAACGTCATCCTTGAGTGTGTCCCCCCGCATCTCGTCCATGAGCTTCGTGCGCGGCTCGTGCTCCGCCTTCAGGTTCTCCTGCTGTGACTTCTCGGACTCCTCTTGCGTGAGCACGAACTGCGCGGAATGAAAATTCAAGAAGATGCGCACGTTGCCGTCGTCGCAGCCGTGGTACTCAACGATGTACACGATGTTGGACTGCCCTTCGTTGGCGGCACACGTGAAATAGTAGCTCCCTTCGACAGTATACACGAAGATGCGCACCTTGCCATCGTCGCAGCGGTGGCACTGGAAGTGATTCTCGACTTTGGACTTCGCTCGGTAAGTTACGCAGGTGAGGTGGTGGTTCCCCATGACGATGGCAACCTGACCTTTGGTTTCGATCTTGTGGTTGTCGTACACCTTTTCGTCTTGGTTGCGCCGCACCACTGCCAAGAACTTCGTAAGCAGCTCGTGCTCCGCCTTTTGCACCACCAGCTTTTTCTTCTCGGCGCCGTCGAGCTGCTTGAGCTGCTGCTCGATGAAGATGATGATGATGATGATGATGATGATGATGATGATGATGATGATGATGATGATGATGATGACGATGATGATGATGATGCTGATGATGATGATGATGATGATGATGATGATGATGATGCTGATGATGATGATGATGATGATGATGATGTGATGATGATGATGATGATGATGATGATGATGATGATGATGGATGGGATGAGGAGGAGAGGAGGGGAGGAGGAGGAGGAGGAGGAGTTGGAGGTGGAAGCGGAGGAGGAGGAGGAGAAGTTGGAGGTGGAGGCGGAGGAGGAGGAGGATGAGGAGGAGGAGGAAGAGGAGGAGGAGGAGGATGAGGAGGATGAGGATGATGATGAGGCGGAGGAGCAGGGGGAGGAGGAGGAGGAGGAGGAGGAGGAGGAGGAGGAGGAGGAGGAGGAGGAGGAGGATAAGGAGGAGGAGGAGGGCCAGTCACATTTTCACTCTTGGCTCGTGTTCCAGGCGAGCTGATCTGGCGAGAATTTCTGCCGATTGCGCCAGTGCCCGCAGTTGAGCTTAGTTCGGGCTGTGGGGCAATGTTTCGGACTTCCTCCTCACCGGGTTTCCTTGGCTTGGGCCGAGTGTCACCATAGGAAATCTCGAGCCAAGATTTTCTTGCACGTCTTCAACTGCTGCCTCACAGCCACCACCAGCTCCTTCCTCCTCTTCCCTGCCCCCCCGCATGACCTCCGCACCCTCCGTCGTTCCTCGGTGCTTTTTTGCTCCTCTGCCCGCTCCCATCCTGCTCCTTCCCCTGCTGCTGCAGATGCAGCGGTCGCTGCTCCTCTTCCCTCTCACCCTCTGCTGCCTCCTCCTTGTGCCCATGGGGCTGCTCCTCGTCCTCCCATCTTCGCTGTGCTGTCGCAGTCGTCCCTTTTCCCCGCCCCCCCCTTCTTCTCCCTCCTCCCTTCCCGTCCTCGCTCTTCGCTCCTGCCTCCTCCCGAGGCAGAAACACGAAGACACAGCTGCCATAGACTTTCTGAGCTCCGCGCAGTTTTCTTGGGTCGGCGCTGGGCCCCCCCAGGCGGCGCCTCCAGCGCGGCCCCCTGGCGCGCTCCGCGCGCCAGGAAGGGGGGGTCCAGCGCAGATCCAAGAAAGTCGCTCCGACCTCCGAAAGTTGACGTGTTAATGTTTTTTTGTTTTCGTTCTTCTATCCCTCCTGCCTTGCTTCTCATCTTCTCCCGCCCCCCTCTCCCTGCGCTGGCGAGGTCGTGGACCTGTGGCAGTGCCCGAGGCAGCTGAGGGCACAGCTGCACACCAGGCTCGTGGAGTCAGTGATTCGTGAGATGCAGCTACAGGCAATCTGGGCCAGCGGCGCTCGGGTCAACTCTGGGCCTTCCGTCTCCCCTCTCCCTCTTCCTCTTCCTCTCCTCTCCTCCTCCTCCTCCTTCTCCTCCTCCTCCTCCTCCTCATCTTTTCTCCTTCTCCTCCCCTTCCTCCTCCTCCTTCTCTGCCACAGTTGCTCAATAATTACTCAATGCAACTGCGACTCTCCCCTCTCCCCCGGAGATGGCCGAGGAGTGGCCTGCCCCCCGCGTTTGGCTTTTTACGCAGGATGTCATTTCGTTATTTGTAATTTCCGATGTTTTTTTCCAGGCGGAGCGATTTCGGTGTCTCGAAATGTTGCTGCCGCTGCAGCGCTGGCCTCATTTTAGGATCGGCGCTTGCTCCCGTCGTTCAGAATAGCGCTCTCGCAGCAGTGCGGGCCACTCTTATGGATTCGAGTCCTTCCTCATCGTTGTCCGCCTTCTTATGGCCCTCCTACTCCCCGCTCCTTCCACTCCAGCTCCCGCTGCTGCTGTTCGTCCTCGTCCGCTCCCTTCATCACTCCTTGTCCTCCCGCCTTCTGCTCATCTGCCACCTCCTCCTTCTTCCCCCCTGTTACTATGTGCGCAGCTCCTCTTTTCCAGGTTCGCTGGGACACGCGTCTGAGAATAAAGAAACATCAGAGCAATGGGGAGAGATGGGTGGGAGGGGTAGGATGTCAGATGTGGCGCGAGCACACCCCCTGAAGATGGCAGGGAGTGGACTGCCCCCCTCAGCGTGTTGTCTTTTACACAGGATGGCGTCGAGTTCCTTTTTTGAGGTGTTTTCCAAATCCGACCGTTCTCAGTCCTTCCAGGTACTCCCGCTGCAGCGTGTGCCCCATCTTCGGATCGCGGCTTTGCTTCCGTCGTAAAGACGGCGCTCTCGCCGCACTGCGGGCCACTTTGCTGGATCCGAGTCCTTCCTCGTCGTTGTCGCCCCCCTCCCTTCCACTCCTCCGCCTTCTCCAGGTCCACCTGCTCCTCCCGCTCCTTCCACTCCAGCTCCCGCTGCTGCTGTTCGTCCTCGTCGCCTTCCTTCCTTTTCCTCCTCCTCCCCCTCCTCCTCGTTTTCCTCCTCCTCCTCCTCCTCCTCCTCCTCCTCCGCGGGAGCCCGCCAAGACCCGTCCACTGGCCCTCAAGAACTCGGACGCGAAGCTGATGGCAGCATCGGCCAACTGGTACCTATCAGTGGTCGCGGAGCGGCACGTCCCGAGCACGCAGCGCGGCTTCGTCCGCGGGCGGAACTTCCTGGACAACGCCTGGCGCCTCGATGCCCAGGCAAGGATAGCAACGCTCGACTCCCCCGAGGAGCTCGCCCGACGCCGGCCGTGCCTCGTCTCCTTCGACGTGGCTGCGGCATTTCCGAGCCTAGCCTGGGGGTGGCTCTTCGCGGCGCTCTGCCAGTTCGGGATTCCGGACTCTTACATCCACCTGATCAGGGCGCTCTACGAGGGGCAACATTGCTGGACCCGCATCGGCTCGCGGTGCTACTACATGTGCCTGGTGCTCACTGGCGTTGCCCAGGGCTGCCCCCTCTCGGGTCCTATGGGCACTGGCCACCGCACCGTTCGTGGAGGCCATCGCGGGTGCGCTGGCGCTTCCCTCACGCTCCCGGGCCAGCCGCCCACCGCGAGACGAGCCACTTATCGGTCCTGGCCGGGACGCCGAGTTCGGCGTCTGTGCTGATGACATGGGGATAGTTCTATGGGACATATGCCTCCTCAGCGTCATCGAGCCTCACTTCTGCGCTATGGCTCGCCTCGCGTGCCTGCGTCTACAGCCCCGCAAATGTGTCCTGGTGCCGCTGTGGCTGGCTGCTGCGGACCTGCCGGCGGCCCGCGATGCCGTTCGTGCCGCACTCAGGGCATGCGTTCCGAGCTGGTCCGACTTCGCCATCTCTTTGACGGTGAAGTACCTCGGCTTTGTATTGGGCCCAGGGGCGTCCCTCCTGGACTCCTGGCAGGCGGCGGCCACGAAGTACAAGCAGCGCGCGGCCGTGCTCAAGAGCGTCCCTGTTGCGACGGCTGAGGTGATTATGCTGTACAACGGCTCCACAGTGTCCGTCCTCATGTACCTGGCCCAGTTGCTGCCCCTACTGGAGTGCCTCATCAAGGGTGAGCTCGACGAGTTGCACCGCCTTCTGAAAGCCCCGCCGAAGTCATTCGCGATGGCTGACCTGATCAGTCTAGGCACCTGGGCACCCGGGCCCGCTCTGGCTGCGCTGCTGCCTGCTGCCTGGGCCGCTGCCTGGCGCGCCGCTCACGCCACGCTGGCGGACTGGAGGGTGTTCGCGGACGCGTGGCGGGAGCGTGCGATGGACGTTCTCCCTGCCACCATCGTTATCTCGGGCCGATGGGGCGCCCCGTTCTGGGAACAGACCGAGTCCATGGTACAGTACCTTTTGGCCATCGACACCGCTGCGGTCAAGGCGCCCAGCGAGCGTCTGCAGCGGCGCCGGCGGCAAGCCCTGCAAGCCGCCAACACCGCAGCTTGCCGCGAGTTGCGCGCGGCGGCGGCCGCAGCGCGCAAGCCCCGCCTGCAGCGCACGCACGCGGCTGCAGCTGCCCAGCAGTTATTCCCCGAGAGTTTCGATGCCACGATCCGTCGACGCCTCCGTGCTTGGTGGCCTGCCCGGGCGGTCCCCCATGACCTCCGCCGGAGGTGGCTGCGTCTCAAAGCGCAGCTGGCCGTCACCGCCCCAGGCACTTGCTGGGCGACCGTCCGCACCCTCGCAGGCGCCTGGCCCACCTCGTACCGCATGCACGTGGGACATCCCCGACTGCCGTGCCGGTGGCAATGCGAGGACGGCACTGACCAGATATCGCACTATTTGGAGTGCCGTGGAGCCTGGTGGTGCGTGTGTGTGTGTGTGTGTGTGTGTGTGTGCGTGTGGCCTCGCGCACCATTGCACACGAAAGCACCCTGCATCGCCTCGGGCTGGGCACGCAGGAGGACTACGACGCAGACCCGCAGGGCGAAAACGGCTTGCCCCGAACGATCGCTCGGCTGGCCACGTTGTACCACACCGACAACCTGCTCCGACATCGTCCAGGGCCGCTGCAGCCGGGCCCTGAGGTGGCAGAGGCGCTGGCGCGCGCTGCCGCCCACCGCGTCCAGGTCCCACCGATCTGCCGGGAACCGCAGCCCCTTGGGTCGGTGACCTACGCGGGCGGCCCGGCAGCACCGGAAGGTCACCGACCCCGGCGCGCGCTGCCTGGCACGCCCAGCAGCGCCCTGTCCACATGGCGCAGGGGCGGGGTCCTACGGACCGTGCCGGCCACACCAGGAAGAAGTACTGACTCCGCCGCTGCCCCGTCGCGCGGCTAGCTCTGACCCCTCTCAGGGCTAAAGGCGCTCCTCCTTTCCCTCCTGTTCATCCTTTTCCTTCCTCCTCCTTTTCCTGTCCCCCTTGCTGCCTTCTCCTCCTCCCTCTTCCCTCTGCTCACCCTGCTGCCCATCCGCCACGAGGTTAGTCCTTGCTCTGGAGGGTTTCAGTTCACGGCAGGCTTCGCGCCCCGTGAGCGAGTCTTGGCTTCGCCTGGCTTCGTGGAGGCCGACCTCGCCTTGGTGAAGGCTCGGGGTGACGAGTCAACCGAAGCTTCGTCGCCGTGTGCTGACGAATCAGACGCTGGAGCCATTGCATTCGGCTGAGATCTTGGACCACCTGGCTCTCGGCCCGTCCCCAACAACCTCCTCCCCCTCGTCCTAAGCACGCAGCCCTCCCTTTTCGGATTGCGCATAACACGATTGGATCTTCCCAGGAGTTCCAGCTCCGTTATCACATGCGTCCGCGGATAGAGAACAATTGAGCAATGGGAAGGGATGGGGTAGTACGGCAGACGCGGCTCGAGCGCGCCAAGCTTCTCCTCCTCCTGTCTCCCTCCTCCGTCTTTCCCTCCTCCCTACGCCCTCCTCTCGATGTTTTCGCGCTGAGAGTACTACCTTTCCACCTCTTCCCCATGACGGCGTGTTTTTGACCATTCGCTCATCTCACGCGTATGGTTTTCTCGCGCACAGGCCCCGACCCCCCAAGCTGGGCCCGCGCTGGGCTGCGGTACGTGAAGTGGTGGCAGCCAGCTGCTCCCCGCCCACCAGCGGGCCGTGGGGGGCGCCCAGGCTCGCCAGCCTCCGGCCAGCTTGCTAGCTCCCTCCCCCCCTCGGCCAGGGGAATTGGCGGCGCCCGCGCCATCCTCTCATGCTCCTGCTCCTCCTCCTCCTCCTCCTCCTCCTCCTCCTGCTCCTCCGCGAGGAAACGGACAGGGTCGTCTTGGATGAAGGTGAGGGAGCGAGAGGGCCGAAGCGTTTGCGCCTGTGCTGCTTGATCGTTTGAGATAGGGATCCACCGTTGCCTGTAGTTAGCTCTGTGCCCTGTGCTCGTCTGACAGCCAAAGACACGGGTGAGGGGGTCCCCTTTCAGTAAGCCCTGAAACGCCGAAACGCCACCTAGTGGCGGGAGAAGAAGGAAGACGGGGGCTGGGGCATTGCCAATGCTGGGCTTTGGACTCTTGCCCATGTGCAGGGCTCCAGGGCCGTGGGGGACCCTGGCGGCGATCTCGAAGGAGGGCCGCGCCGGATCGCCACCCGCCCGCCCCCTCTGGGGGTCCAGAGCACCAGTCCCCGATGGGATCGCCAGGCGCCCGTGTACTGGCCTTCGGCCATTGAGGGGTCTGCCAAGTGGCCCGGTAATGGTCCCCCCCCCCGCCGCGCCCCTGCAAGGGTTCACATCCCCGACGGGCGTGGCACTGGCGGGGTGGGTGGGGGGGCTAGCGCGGCTCAGACTGAGCTGTCCCAAAGGGCGGACAGGGAAGGACTGCCGAGGGGAGGGAGGAGTGGAGGATCGGAGGGCACGGGAGATGAGGAGTGGGGAAGAGGCGAGAGGCGTGGATGCGGGAAAGGGGAAAGGGAAAAGAGAAGGAGTTAAGGGGGGAGGCGCGCTTCTAGATGCATCACTGGGGCGTCCGCAGCCAGCACTGAAAACATGTCGCATTCACAGCCAGGATCTCGACGCATAGTGAGAAGCACGTAGCGTCGAAAGCTCGAAAAGGCGGAGGAGCAGGAGGAGAAGGAGGAGGAGGAGGAGGAGGCGCAGGAGCAGGAGCAGGAGGAGGAGGAGGAGGAGGAGGAGGAGGAGGAGGAGGAGGAGGAGGAGGAGGAGGAGGAGAGAGGGGGAGGAGGGGAGGGGAGGAGGAGGACGAGGAGGGAGGATGAGGTGGGAGGAGGGAGGATGGAGGAGGGAGGAGGGAGGGGAGGAGGGGAGGAGGAGGGAGGAGGAGGAGGGGAGGAGGAGGAGGAGGAGGAGGAGGAGGAGGAGGAGGAGGAGGAGGAGGAGGAGGAGGATGAGGAGGTTGGGGGTAGTTGACTGACGAATCGGTTGAACGGGGTGGGATTTTGAAAGGGGGAGTTGCGAAATCTACTGCGTGTAGCTTGTTTTTGTCCCGCTGCTGGGCGCCTCTGGCGCCAGGGAAACCAGCTGCACGTGGGCTGATTCGCTAGCCCCCCAGTCTACTGCCCTCTCTTTTCGTCCGACCCCAGAGGAGCGCGAGGAGGAGGAGGAAGAGGACCCAGACTCCCGACGTTGTGATTTTCTCGAAGCGTGGATCCCCTGAGGTCTTGCTCTTTCCCAGGGACCGGTCTTTCAGCCTGTGCCGTCTGAGCCGTTTTTTTGACAGCCCCGAGGCCCGATAAAGACCTTTGGATGCCGAAAATAAGAGGAAACCACCCGTCGTTTGTTTGTTTTGTTTTGTTTCTCTTTCTCTTTCTCTCTCTCGCTTTCTCTCTTTTTCTCTTCATATGGCGAGAGGAGGCGGGGACCAGCAGAAGCAGCTCCCAGCCCAGCGGCGCCGAGTCCGCCCCTAGGGGCGAAGCTGGAGCTGGACCACAGCTGCCCGCGCGGTGCTCCGGAATCCAGAGTGCCTGACAGACTGCGGCGACAAGGCGGCCCCGCAATGCTGCTCCTTTTGCTGTCTGCTGCTGTGCTGGTACTGCTGCTTCTTGATGGTCACGAGCGGCGAAGGCATCCGTGTTCACGCCGCGGTCTGGATTCCGGGTCGCGATCCCGTCGGTGCCCAGTCGCATGGATGCGCTCTGCGCGGGGCATCTGCGAAGAAGTGCCCCGTATCCACGGGTCGCGGCGCAGGGGCCCCGCCCGCGAGGCCGTGGATAGCATGTATGTTTTCCGCTCACGAGATGGGCTGGTGTGTTCAAGCGCAGGCGATCTCTCGCCCCCGACCCTCGTGTTCACACCCCCCCCCAACATTGGCCTCTCAGAAGAGGAAGGTATCCCGGGAATGCACTCCCGAGGGATTGCTCGGCCGCACACGTCTCGAGGATGGTCGCCCCCCGATTGTGTATCCCCGAGTGGTTACCGAATTTTCTGGCCCATCGGAAACCCCACAGAAGTCGGGGATCGGGGTCGGCAGATCCCCCCGTTGTGATGTGCTTGCGGTCAGGAACTTTTGCTTAGCGTGTCGCGCCGCCAGTTCTGGCCCACCACGCTTCGGCGCAGCACGCTAGCCACGCCCCCGTTCCCAAGCGTCAACGGCCTGAGATCTCTCCAGCCTCCCGCCCCGCGGAGCGGAGCGACACGCTAATATCTGCTCGCCGCGCATGAGCGTGTCGCCGGGGCCGCCGCCGCCACACGCTCGGCAGAAGATCCTGACCGTCAGTGCGGCGCCCCCAGAGATCCGAGTCCTTCTTCTCTTCCCCCTCCTCCTCCCTTTTGACGTTGCGCGAACTAGGGGACTGAGCCTGAAGCGTTACCCCCCTCCTCCCCCTCCTCCCACTCCTCCTCCTCCTGCTCCTCCTCCTCCTCCTCCTCCTCCTCCTCCTCCTCCTCCTCACCCTCCTCCTCCTCCTCCTCCTCCTCCTCCTCCTCCTCCTCCTCCTCCTCCTCCTCTTGCTCCTCCGCCTCTGGCCGCTCGTACCTGTTACGCCTTCCGAGATTCTGGCCGCACACCGCCGCACAGCTTTTCTGGGATTGGGGATTTCGACGCCGCTAGCAGATGGTAGCCGCGCTGCAGAAACAAATCCCATACGGGGTCCCCGGAAGTCCCCCTCCCCACTTTGGGTGCGCGCGGCCTGGGGCACTTTAGGTTTCAGAAGGGGGTTTTTAGGGCCCGAAAAGAACATATTCCCCAATCAGAGCTTGCCTTTGTAGGGGTCCTAGCGGATTCATGTGGTTAGGTGAGCTGGGCCGCCGATTTCGGTGGCCGGGTGGCCGGGTGCCCGGGTGCCCTATAGCCCTATAGCCCTATATCTTTATAGCCCTATAGCCATATAGCCCTATAGCCCTATAGCTCTATAACCGTATAGCCCTATCGCCGTATCGCCCTATATATCCATAGCCCTATAGCCCGATAGCCCTATAGCCCTATAGCCCTATAGCCATATAACCTTATAGCCCTATAGCCCTATAGCCCCACAGCCCAGCCCTATGGCCCTATAGCCCTATGGCCCTATAGCCATATAGCCCTATAGCCTTAAAGCCCCATCGCCCTATCACCCTGTATATCCATAGCCCTATAGCCCTACAGCCCTATAGCCCTATAGCCTCACAGCCCTACAGCCCTACAGCCCTACAGCCCCATAGCCTGATAGCTCTATAACCCTATAGCCCTATAGCCCTATAGCCCTATAGCCCCATAGCCCCATAGCCTTGTAGCCCGAAACACAAATCTGATTCGTTTTTTTTCTCTGGTATCGTTTCTTTTCCTCCCATTGATCGCTTCCCGTTAATTCGCGCCCCCCCAGGACCAGCTTCTCCTTCCGAGTCGTCTCCCGAGGGTCCTGGGGCCCTTGGCGAGGGCCGCCAGAGGCCACGGAAACGGCGGGAGGCCTGGGCCGCCCCGCAGCCCCGCTCCCGATGGGGTGCCGCGCCGGTCCGCGCCCTCCTGTGATGGGCCCATGTTCCACCACCACTGCCACAGGCAGAAGGGGGGAGAAGGGAGGATGGGGAGGCCCTCCCTCTCTTCCTCCTCCTTCTCCTCCTCCTCCTCCTCTGCCTCCTCCTCCCTCCTCCTCCTCCTCCTCCTCCTCGTCCCTCCTCCTCCTCCTCCTCCTCCTCCTCCTCCTCCTCCTCCCTCCTCCTCCCGCCTCCCTCCTCCCTCCTCCCTCCTCCTCCTCCTCCTCCCCTCCTCCCTCCTCCCTCCTCCCTCTCCCCCTCCTCCCTCCTCCTCCTCCTCCTCCTTCTCCCTCCTTCCTCCTCCTCCTCCTCCTCCTCCCTCTCCTCCTCCTCCTCTCCTCCTCCTCTTCCTCCTCCTCCTCCTCCTCCTCCTCCTCCTCCTCCTCCTCCTCCTCCTCCTCCTCCTCCTCCTCCTCCTCCTCCTCCCTATAGTAGTGGTGTTGGAACATCGGCCCATCGTCCTGCCCGCTGCCGGCAGCGCGGGGCCGTCGCCCCCCGCGCTCCTCCTCGGGCGGTGGCTCGCGCCCCGCCCTGCGCCCCGCCGCCGACCCTCCGACTGGTACCAGTGGCCGAGCCGTGGGTCGCTCGCGGGCCTCTCTCCCAGAGGCAGCCCGCTCACGCCGTGGACACAGACCCCCTCGAGGAATACAAAAAATCATGACTGGAGGTTTTTCGCTGTTTTCGGCCTCTGGGAGCCCTCGCCTGGCCTCGGGGCCGTCCAAAAACGACTCGGGATCAGAAACCGGTCCACAGAACGGGTCGAGACCTCCGGGGGTCGCCTCGGATCTCGGGGCCCTCGCTTTCGGCCTTTGGGGCCCTTCCTGAGGGCCCCAGAGGCCGTCAGAAAGCGACTCCAGACGAGGAGCTGCTGCCCTTGGGGGGGGAAGGGCCCCCAAGGGTCCATGAGCCGTCTCCCTCAGGCCTCGTCTGCTTGGTGCCAGCCGCTGGAGCTCTCGCAGAGCTGGGAAGCGCGCTGCCGCGCTCTCGTGGGTTACCCGACGCCGGCCCGATCCTTCGCCGCAGCCACTTTGGCCTGCAGGCAGTTTTTCGACCAAGTCGCGCGGGCTCTGGTCCCAGGGCGCTCTGCAGGGGGCCCCCAGCCCTGCCCGAGCGTGCTGGCTCCGCGCATGGCGCTGTTCAGCCACGGCCTGTCGCAGCTCACCCTGGTGGCGGCAATCGTCACGCCGACGTTCATCCTGATCGTGGTTCACGCGCTGTCGGGTGTCAGGACTCTGAACTTGAGGTGGCGGGCCAACAAAGAGCGGCGTAAGCAGCGGCGGTCGGCCAGCAACGCGCGCATCGTGTTCGACCGCGGCGGGCTCGTCGTCGCCGAGAGTGTCCAAAGATGCGCGCGCGTGGACTTCTTCAATCAGCTGGTCGGGCATTTGCACACGCTGGGGCCAGCTCTCCCCTTTGGCAATCCGACGCTGCTCAAGCTCCACGGCAGCCTCAAGAGCGCGGCGGAGGTTGCCGCCAGGTGCTCGGAGGCAGCGTGCGCCTACCTGGCTCGGGCAGACGTGGACCTCCGCATGATCAGCTCCTTTGAGCCCCTGGGCGCCTTGCTGGAGGACCTCGTCGACCGCAAGCCGCCGACGGGAGACGTCAAGGGGCTGCTGAACCAGTTCAAGGAGGAGCTGGCTGTGCTCCACGCCGCCTTCGGCTCTGGAGCTCAGCAGCGTTGATCCGATCCCCAGCCCCGCCGGGCCACGGTCCCTCAGCCCCGCCAGACCCCTCCCCAATATTGGGATGGGCCTCGCGAGATCCAGAGGGAGCATCATCATCATCATCATCATCATCATCATCATCATCATCATCATCATCATCATCATCATCATCATCATCATCATCATCATCATCACCATCATCACCATCATCATCATCATCATTATCATCATCATCACCATCATCATCATCATCATCATCATTATTACCATCATCACCATCACATTCATCATCATCATAACCATCCTCATCCTCATCATCATCACCATCATCATCATCATCATCATCATCATCATCATCATCACCATCACCATCACCATCACCATCACCATCACCATCATCGTCGTCGTCGTCGTCGTCGTTGTCGTCATCATATATATATATAGATTCAGAAAGACAAAGACAGTTACGGGGTAGGGAGGATGGAGTTGGCAGAGACGACCAGATCGTCCGTATGATCGCATATGCCGAGTGTGCTTGTTACACAGTCGTGCCCCGTAATTACCTTCCCAACCCCATCCTCCCAACCCGGTAATTGTCTTTCTGGGTATCCCCATTTAGGGGGGTATACCGGTCAGTGAGGCCATGGGCATGCTAGTGGGGATGGGGACAAGTTAAGCGATCTCAGGAGCTCGGCTGGAACCCGCGCACGCCGTGGAGGAGGCGCTGCTGGGCCAGGAGAGCGTGAGGAGGGGCTTCCTGGCGAGGGTGGGCGGCGGCCCAGCCGTGCCGGAGTTCGATTCGAGCCCGGTGCCGCAGCTGGCGAAGCGGGCGAGGAAGGCGATCGGCCACTCGCAGAGGGGGGTATGGGAGGGGGGGGAGGCTTCTTAGAAGCACGCCTGCTTCTCAGAAGGCGCGGGCCTTGTCTGCAGATGTAGGACCCGCGCATTCTAAGAAGCAGCCTCTTTCTAGGAAGCCTTCCCCCCTCCCCTTACCCCCGTGTGCGCGCCGCCAAGAAGGCGAGGGAGGGCCTGCGCAGCGCCGCGGGCACCGCCCGCTTGACGTCGCTGGAGCCGATTGAGATGGTGGGCGGGGTGCACGCTCGAGGCTCTGGGCTGCTGTTCCGAGCGGCCGCGCTGCGCGACAGGTTTGGGATCGGCAGCGTTCGCCTCATGCTGTCGGTCGCCGTCCTCCTCCTGTCGCTCGGCCCAGCGAGGTTCGTGGGCCACTCTGGCGCGGCGCTGGTGGTTGGCCTGGGCTCCGTTGTGCTCGGCCTGGAGGCGCTCGCTGTCTGCGACAGCAAGAGCAGCGAGGGCATGTTGCGCAGGACCGTCCCAGTGGTGCTCCTCGTGCTTGCAGTTGTCGCCTCAGCAGTGCAGGGCTTTGACTCCACGCCGCAGAGCAACACCGAGCTGGAGCAGAAACCCACATTCTTACCAGTGCCACCACAGTATGACCTGCGAATTCCCATGCAGCGACTGTACGTGCCGCTCATTTACGGCATAATGCACGCCAATCTTGCAGTCATATGCTTGTTGCCGTTGCCAGTCTGCTACTACTTGCAGGCGCGCTTGGTGAGCAGGTGGCCGAGCCTGCGGTGGTTGGTGCCGCAGAATCCTGTTTGGGCGCACCGCATGTTAGGCTATGCGCTTCTGGGTGGGATCTCCGTGGCGGCCATGATCTGGCTTCTCCTCCAGGGCCACCAGTGCCTGTCTCAGAAGGCGTCCCCTGAGGGCGGGGAGCGCGCCTGCTTCGCCTTCGACCCCGGCAGCATCGGGAACCCCACCGACCGCCGCAATGGAGTGGACGTGTTCGTGCTGCGGTTTCACCTGGCCTGGCCGCTCATCTACTCCTTCATCTCGAAGAAGAAAACAGAGCATACGCTTAAACTTTCGGAACTCTGCGAGGATTCCTTGGATCGGCGCTGGACCCCCCTGGTGCCGACGGCTTGCTCCGCGCGCCACGGTGTCCAGACAAACAGTGTCCACACCCATCTCTCCAAGACAGCGCGATCGTAAGGTAATCATGTCATGATGTCTTCACGCCATCCCAGTGCCGATCCAAGAAATTCGTGCGGAGCTCCGAAATTTTATATGCCTGTGCCTCTATTTTCTTCCTCTGCCGTCCCGCTCATGGTCTGGGACAGGTATCTGCGCCTCCCAGATGGGGTCCGAGTACATGGGGTCAGAGGATCGCGCCGCATCGTCGATGCATCGCCGATGCGTGACCCCATCCCCAGGCAGCATCTGGATTTTTTCGAGATGCGGGCCCACGACCTCTCGACCACTTCCCTGGGACCGGTCTTTCCGAGTTGTTTTTCCTGACGGTCCCGAGGCTCAGCGGGGGCCCCGAGGGGCCGAGAATAGCGAAGCACCTTCGGTCGTGGTTTTGCCATGGCACGAGGGGGGCCTGGGGAGCCCATGACGCTCGGCCCCCCTCCGGGAGGCCTCCACCTGCGAGGTACCCGAGCCACGAGGAGCGGCCGGATGCTCCGCGCCGCGCGCCGGGCGCGGAGCGCGGCGGTCCCGCCCCCGCCTCGGCGGCTCGAGCCCCGCGGCTGCGGGCGCTGCTCTCCCGAGGGGCGCGCCCGGGGCCCGCCCGCGCCGACCCAGACGAGGATCGGCGGCGCCAGGCTCGAGAGGCCTCCCAGAGGGGGGTCCGAGCAGAGGTGGGGCCGCATCGCCGATGCATCGGCGATGCTTCGCCCGAGGTGGGGCCCGATTCTCTCCACGCCGACGGCGCTGGTGCATCGTCGACGTTGCCGACGCATCGCCGATGCCTCGGCGATGCATTGGCGATGCATTGGCGATGCGGCGCGATCCTCCGACCCCAATTGCTTGGACCCCATCTGGGAGGCCTCTCGCTAGAGCCCCGCGAGTCGTGACAAGATCACAACGGGATGTTTTTCGTTGCGGCCGGACCGAGGTACAAGATCGAGGTCGGTTCGGGGAGGGTGCCCTGATGTTCTTCGTGTTTGTTGGATGTTCTCGTGCATCCTGGGGGAGGGTACCCTCGAAGGTTCTTCAGTTTGGCCCGCGGAGGGTCTCATCTTCTTGAAGGATGTTCTTCTGTCCTGGGTCCGGCCGTATTGCGAAGGCCTTACGGCCGGTGCCGCCGACCCTGAATGACGTCGACGACGACGACGACGAACGCTCTCGGGGGCCTCTTGGGGGCCTCTTGGGAAGCTCTTGGGAGCCGCTTGGGAGCCTCATGGGGGCCTCTTGGGGCTTCCTGGGAGTCTCTTGGGGGCTCTTGGGGGGCTTCTGAGGGGCCTCTGGGGGCTTCCTGAGAGCTTATCAGGCTGAGGGATCGAAATGTCCGTTCGGGTCACCCGTCTGGGCTCCCTCTTGGAGCCGTCTTGGGGGCCTCCTCGGCTGTCTTTCAGGCTTCTTGGGCGGTCTTGGGGCCCTCTTGGGTCGTTGTGGAACTCTCTTGGAGGCCTCTTCAGCCATCTTGGGGCGGTTTTGGAGCCCTCTTGGCCTGTCTTGGAGCGTCGGGAAGCTGACAAGGCGAGAATGCTGAAATCTTTCAAAAACCTAAGGGGAATCGAAGTTTTTTGCCCCCTGGGGCCGTCTTGGAAGTCCTCTTGGAGGTCTCTTGGGGCATTTTGGAAACCTTTTGAGCCGTCTGGAGGTTACTTTGGTGACTTGGACCGATACTTCAGCGATTCGGGGCCCTCGAAGACCGTCGTGGGGACATTTTGGGCCACTTCTGCCGCGTCTTGGGGCATTCTGGGCTCCAGAACCGCCCGGGGGGGAGTCGCACCTGCCCCGGGACCCCCCTGGGACCCCTCCCCAGGACCTCCCCTGGGACCCCCCCCAGCTCTGGGGGGCCCTTGCCTGGCCTCGAGACTATCAAAGCCGGTTCTGGGGAATGGGTCGAGACCTAGGGGGGTCGACTCTATGAAACAAATCATGACGTCGGGGGTCTCGGACCACAACGGGTGTTGTTACGGTGGGGTGTGCTTTGCGATCTGCGTCGTGTGGGGCTTGGGCGGCACCACGTTGCCCTCGTCGGGCCTCGGGGCGTGGCGGAGGACTCTGTGGAGGTCCTCGCCCGCCCCCGCAGGGTGCGGGCTGCAAGCCGCGCCCTTTGCAGACCATACCCTTCGGAGCCGCCGAGAGGAGGAGGGGGCGGCCCTGCTGCCGGACGGCGATGGCGGCCAGGCGCTCGCACCGAGGATCCCAGCGGAGGAAAGGATACCGATGCCACTGCTCGTCCTGGAGAGCCCTCGTCGCCACGGCTGGCTTCTCTTCGAAGCTCTGGCCAGCACGCACTCCGGGAGAGGTCTGGGGAGCAGCGGTATCCGTATCTCTGTCCCCCCAGGATCACCGCCCGCAGCATCTTCGAGGGTGCGTGCACGTTCGTGTTCCGGCGCGTCGTCGACATTTGTCTGCTGGTTGGCGCGGCCGCAGGGTGTTTGCTGGTCCAGGGCGACAACATCGACAAGATGACGCCGGCGTTCGTCCCCCTGGCGAGCGCTCTCGTCTTCCAGTGGCCTCTTGTCCTGACTGTGCTGGCGCTGCAGACGATGTTTAAATTTAGAAGCTTCTTGCGAGAGGTCGCTGGCCCAACGATCTCGAGCAAGGTGGGCATCGGAAGGTTTGACGAGTGGTTTGGGTTCTTGCAGAGGTCTTGGTGGGAGATCGCCTACTTCTGCCACGTCTCAGCGTACATGCTCCTCCTCGCGGCCGCACTCACCATACGCCTGCAGGTCTTCTGGCCCACGCTCTTCACATGGGCGTTGTATTTCTACGATCGCTTCATGATCTGGAGATGTGCCCAGGCGCACTCCACGCCAATCGTCGTCGGTGCCCGGAGCGGTCCATCGTCCTACCCGGTCAACAGGGGCGAAGGGGCGGCTGCGGAGCCGTCGCACGTGAGGCTCGTGCTGCGCAGGCCTCCGAACTTCGACTTCAAGGCCGGGCAGTGGTGCCAGCTGGCGTTGCGGCCGTGCGGCGCGTACTGCGGCGCCCCCGGGTGCGTCAAGCCGCTCCTGCAGTGGCACCCGTTTTCCATTCGGCGACTACGAAGGCTTGGTTACGTCGGGGTGTGGTTTGCGATCTGCGTTGTGTGGGGCTTGGGCGGCACCACGTTGCCATCGTCGGGCCTCTGGACGCGGCGGAGAACTCTGTGGAGGTCCTCGCCCGCCCCCGCAGGGTGCGGGCTGCAAGCCGCACCCTTTGCAAACCACACCCTTCGGAGTCGCCGATCCATAGCCAGCTCGGAGAAGGACGACTTCTTGGAGTTTCACATCGGGGTGCACGGGAGCCCTGAGCTGCTGGGCCATTCGGCAAGCGTCAACCTGGCGCCCAAGAGCGAGAGCCTGGCCTACGTCTCAGAGAAAGGGAATTGCGTCGAATGGGCGTTCCCACACCGCGTGCCGTATTCCGGCCAAGTGAAAAAGGGCGCTTACCAACTGGAGAGGTCGGGTATATACCTCAACCTGTCGGGAGAGGGCGGCCAGTCCGTAAAGCTGTTGCGCCCGCAGCTGCAGTGGACGGGAAGGCTGTGGAACATCGTCCAGTGGTTGTTGGAGTGCCGGTATGCTGGGCGCCACGTGGAGGACCAGGAGGTCAGCATCATGGGCCCATACGGGACGTTACCCTTCACTGTGGCCAGCCACCAAAATGTAATGTTGATTGGAGCAGGGGTCGGTTACCCCAGCACTGGGGGTATGCTCCGCCAGGTTCTGGAAGACAACATGGGCAAGGAGGGGGCAGATAGGAAGGCAGTCTGTTTCATCTGGGCAGCGACAAAGATTGATCAGCTGCTCCTGTGCTTCCCGAGCCTTCTGGCAGACCTCTCGCGATACGTTAGCAAACGTTCCCTCAAGGAGTTGAAGAGCTGGCTCACAGTGAAAATATTCATATCTAGCTTCGAGGCTGGAGATTTCCTCAACGTGAACCCGAGTGAACACATTTTTCCAGAGAGCGGCGACATGAAGTCTGCGTTGGAGGAGGTGCGTCGCTGGCTACTCGGTCAGGACAACTCGGGAGGGCACGATGAGGACGGCACCTACATTTGTCAAGGATCTCTCGGAGCGAGCTTCCCGGATGTGCTGAGAAATAGCGTGTTTACTCGCGACAAAGTTGTAGGAAGGCAGACCTCGCTTGGGGTATGTTTCTGTGGTCCAGCCGCGTTAGGCAGCTGGATCAGGAGTGACCTCGCGAACACGATTCTGCCTGTCAAGGTGGAGTACAACGCAGAGTGCGCTGGCGACTAGCACTGGTCTTACGTTTTCCTCAAGCAGTGCTTGCACTCGGAGATGCAACCAGAAGGTCTTGGGCGTTACAGTCAAGGCGTTGAAGCAGGGACCATCCTGGGCTAATGAGGGGCCCTAGTTTTCGGGCCGTTCATGAGATCTAGGTCGGGGAGCGTCTTCGAAGCTGAGACTCGCCGTGGCCTGGCAAGACCCTTCGCTCTTCTTTAATGTTCCTCCTGGTCGCACGATGACTGCGTACTGATAAGAATTCTGGGCGCCGTGGGTTGTGCCCAGGGGCTGCGCCGCGGGCTGTGCCAATGCAGGTTGCGCCCGACGCCCTGGGGATCTCCGAGTTTTGCGTGGGCTGCGCCCATGTGGGCAGCGCCACAGGTCGGGACCCACATCGGGCGCTCCAGACAGGGACATCGTTCGGGATCGAAGGAGTTGACACCTCTTCCTCGGCGGCAGGGCAGCGGAAGGCCGGCGTAAGTGAAACGAGGGAGGCCGACCGGGCGGAAGCCACCGGCAGGCCTGGCAGAAGTGCAAGATGCGCCCCCAAGAGATGTCAACGTTTTTTGGGTTCAGGGATTTCGGAGAGTCGGCTTTCCATCGCCCCATATGCGCCCGAGGCTGATGGGTGCCATGTGTTGCGCCAATGGGTTGCGCTACAGGTTGAGCGCATAGGTTGCGCCTGCTGCCCTTGGGATTGCTGGGCTGCGCAGGTTACGCCCATGGGTTGCGGCACACGTTGGGTCACGTTGGACCCATATGTTGTGCCTGGTGCTGCAGGGCTTTCTCGGTGCCAGAGACTGCGCGCAAGGCTTACCCCACAGTGTATAGTAAGCATCCGTAGGATGCGTCAATACTTGCTTTGCTTTACAGTTGTTTGCGTTGCTGTACATTGCTGTGGACTGCTGTCCACCGCTTTGCGTTGCGTCACTTTTCATTGCCCAGCTTTGCATCGCATAGCTTTGAGCTGCGTGCGTTGCTTTGCATTGCCTTGCATTGCACCAAATCGACTGCACCAATTCACTGTTTGAGGCCCGCGATGGAAACATGTTTCTCGCATTTTTGGACTGTGTTGAGGCTCAAAGGGTCTCACACAGATCAGGAACTGAAGGATATCAAGCTTTGCTGTGCAGCAGCCAGCAGTCATCAGGGAATGTACGGCCGCTGCCGCATCCTGTATTGGATGTTCCTCATGTGGATATTTTTGTTGTGATGTCGCCCAGGGTGTTCCCTGAATCGTGGGCTTTTCCGATTGAGCATCCCTTTTTCGCTGGTCTGGAGCATGATTGCATTCAGCTGACCCGAGCCCTGAGGACTGCGCCGTTGATCACTAAGTTGGCTTCGGCGGTAGAACCCTCCTCCTGCTCCAGGTCTTGGGCGGTGCAGCGGAGGGGGCCGCGTTGGGACAATCTTGGGGCCTCTGGGGGCTAGATGGTGGCACCTTGGGGCCGTCCGAGGAAGCTGCTGGGCCATCCTGGGCGATCCGGGCGGCTCCCTTTGTCCTTTGGGGGGCCACCTCGGGGCTGTCTTGGGGGCTCTGGGGGCCATCTTGGAGCGATCTTGGCCTGGAGGCACGGCACCCCTGGACGCCTCCTGGCGGCCTGTGGCTAGTATCGGGGCGCCTGCTGTGGAAAGCTGTGGCTTGGAGATGCCCTGGCGACGATGACGACGAAGACGCCGTGGCGCCGCTCCCGGCTCGGCAGACTGCGGGGGTCGACGGGGTGCGCCGCCACAGCTCGCGCACGTGTGGCAGGGCCCTCCCTGCGCTGCGGATGCAGGGTGTGTCCCGCTCTCCGCCCCATGGGCCCCTCTCCTCCTCGTCCTCCTCTTCTTCCTCCTCGTCCTCCTCTTCCTCCTCGTCCTTCTCCTCTTCGTCGTCGTCGTCGTCGTCGTCCTCCTCCTCCACCTCCTCCTCTCGTCCTCCTCTTTCTCCTGCCTCGTCGTTTCCGCTTTACGCGGATGTTGAATGCTGTTCCTCTTCGTTGTCTTGGTGCTGCTGCTGCTTTTCCTCCTTCTCCTGCTCCTCCTCCTCCTCCTCCTGCTCCTCCTCCTCCTCCTCCTCCTCCTCCTCCTCCTCCCACTTTTGATGCTCCTTCGTTTGGCTCAGGCTGCGTTTGGTGGCGGGAAGGACATGACACATTACACATGCACTTTTCTATATGGCTTTCAATGCCCATGTCGCCAAACAGCCCTCCCTGTAGGGCCACCAGGTTCCGTCGCCCGACCCAGCTTCGATCGGGTGATCCCCTTACCGTGCGTGCCCGCTCCAGGACGGTGCGTCTCAGGTCCAGACGATGGTGCGTCCCAGGACCGTCCCAGGTGAATTCCGTGTGTCCGCTCGACAACTGGCGCATCCCATGACCGTCCTTGGCACGTCTCCAGGCGCATCTCTAGACACGGCCCCAGGCAAGTCAGCTGACACGGTCACAGGCATGGCCCCAGGCACGCCCCCAGGCATGCCCACAGACAAAGGTATTGGAGAGGCGACCTGTGCGAAAGAAAAACAGCGTGCTTCCCAAGCACTTCAGGTCGCCTTTGGCTTACGTAGTGTGTCGCGCCGCTGGTTCTGGCCCGCCCGCTCTGGCGCGACACGCTAACCACGTCCTGGACCCGAGGTGTCAGCGTCCCGCCGGGCCTTTTTGAGCCTCCCGCCTCGCGGAGTGTAGCGACACACAATTCGCTTGCACGGCATATCGTGTTGCTGGGGCCGCCGACGCGACACGCTAAGGAAAAAACTCCCGACCGCACAGCTTGATAGCGCGAGGGCACCCGACTCGCGAAGCAGCTCTCGTTGCATTATCAGCAATCCGGGGAGGTTGGGTAGCCATTCCGGTGCAAGTCGGAGTGAGAGGCTCTCGCTCACGCGGGTCCATCCGCGTGAGGCCGCATGTGTATTATTTGACTCGGGGCGCGCCGTTGCCGTTGCGTCCGTCCTCTTCTGGTCCGTCCCGCTGGGGGTGGGGGTGGGGCGGTGTGGGCTTGGCTTGGGGGGCCCAGGGTGTCGTGGGAGCCGAGCAGACAGGTGAAGATTCTGCTTTTGATTTTTGCTGCGTCTTGGGCAATTTATACATCATACATATGGAGGAGGAGGAGGCGAAGGAGGAGGAGGATGATGATGATGATGAGGAGGAGGAGGAGGTAGAATGATGATGATGATGATGATGATGATGATGATGATGATGATGATGATGATGATGATGATGATGATGATGATGATGATGATGATGATGATGATGATGATGATGATGATGATGATGATGATGATGATGATGATGCTGATGATGCTGATGCTGATGATGATGATGATGATGATGATGAGGAGGAGGAGGAGGAGGAGGAGGAGGAGGAGAAGGATGAGGACCAGCGTAATGACATTCATAGCCGTGAACAGGTGGGCAGCAGGGACGGCGACGTGTCTCCCACCCCCTCGTGGGTTTGCGTATCTGGCGGAGGGCCCAAATAACATCGAGCGCAGAAACCTTTCCCTTTCAGAGGGGGGCAGGGGGTGGGGGCGGGGGCGGGGGCGGGGCGATAGGTCCTGGGGGGTGCCTGGTGGCCAGCCATCGGGGTCTGCTCGGGGCCGACGGTGGCGGGGGTATCGGGGTGCGCGCACGAAGGCCACTGCTCTTCTACGCGATCGGCACCCGCGGCGGCCTGTCCTCTCTGGTTGAGCTGCCCCAAGCTCAGGGCATCGTGGGCGGGAGACGCATCCGTACCCACGGCCTCGCGGGCCGGGCCCTAGGCCTTGGGCCGCGACCCCATGGACACAGGGCGTTTTTTCGCGGATGCCCCGCGCGGAACGAGTACTGTCTTTCGACTACGTATCCGCGGGAATCGTGCCCCGGAATCCAGACCGCGAGGGTCCTGTGCGATCCCTATCTCTCCCGTGGTGCGGGGAGGGATTTCGCTCATAGGGATTCCATCGAGCTTCCCCGTGCGGGGCACGGGGGGGAGGGCTTGTGTAACCGAATTGTTGCCGCCCTTCGGGGTCGGGGCGTCCCTTCTCTTCCTTTGGCGTGGCGTTCCCAAGTGCACGGCTTGCTGGCGCGCCTTTGCTCTCGTTTGTCCCAGCCGCCTCTGCCCCTGCCGCTGCGTCCCTGGATAGGCTGCGTAACCATTGGTCTCTGATCGAAGAGGAGGAGAAGGAGGAGGAGGAGGAGAAGGAGGAGGAGAAGGAGGAGGAGGAGCAGAAGGAGGAGCATATGAAGGAGGAGGAGGAGGATGATGATGAGGAGGGTCGGAATCTGGAGTATATTCATTTCCAATGGCGGGCTGTTGTCCCATTCCAGGACTATTTGATGGTCGGGGACGACGTCGGGGTGGTGTGGTGTATGCTTTGTTCCCCGTTTTCCCGGTGAAGCAAGGAACAAATTATACACCAGGATCCCGTATACACCAGGATCCGCTTTCCTCTG